CCCCGCATAGCAATGTACACCACTCCGCCGCCGAAAAAAAAGGATCATATTCCTTTGTATTTGTGCGCGCAGTGTGCGACCTAAAGAGATTGTGCGGACTTTCCAACACGATATATAGCGTAAATCAAATAAAATAGAAACATCGTTTGCGATTGAACTAGCGCGGAGGTACGTGGATAGACAAGAAAAGAAACACGGAGGAACACCGAGTCAAACTATGTTTACGATGCGATAGAATGAACAACTTCAAATACGGAAGGCCACGGACCATAAGAAAGTAGGCCGCGAAATTTCATGCGAAGCACGAACTACGATAGAGCTCGCAGTCATGAAGCACACGGAGCGGCACGAAATGACGGAAGTGGATGAGAGTTGAAATAATGACACCCTAACATTACGAGTAACACGGGCCACGGAAGAGAGCGCACTCACAGTCACGGTAGACTACGTAGGTGTGTGAGTGCACGGAGTTCTCCCACCACGGTAGAGTACGAAGCGCGGTCGACAAATTAAACTCCAAGTCACGGAGGAGCATAACAGGGAAACCACCGAGCTTTGGAGCACAATATTAGGGTAGAGCCGGAGCTCACGGAGACCCACAGCACTCTACCACGGCTGCTAACAATCGCCCAGACGACAGACCAACCCCGACACCAGAAGTTAGTACGATAGCACGAGCTATGCCACTAAAGACGGGAAACACAGCCGCGGAGCTATAACCAGAAAGTCATCGAGCCGCGGACATCGATACCAGTGTAGAACCTGAGCTTACCGAGCCACGGAGGACAGTAGTAGATTCGAACTCGATTGCACGGACGGCGGAGCAGCCAGGAGACACAGGGGGTGCTCAGGGTGACCACGATTGCACACCGTGGAGCACGATGCCATTGTAAAACACGATAACACGGGCAACGCAGATGCACTACGCGAGCACAATACCGTATACACCGGTCTAGAAACTGGTGATGGGAGGCAAACGCCCACGAAAGATTATATACCACGAAACCGGTGCAACCCACGTAAACGTTTAAGAGCAGAGAAACGTTAGCAGCTACGGAAAGGCCGTACTAAAGAACATGAACCTAAGAGAGAGCGCGCATAGCCACTAAGCAGCGTGGACCACGGGTAAGCAGGGAGCTACGAAGCCAGGAAGAGCACGGAAGAGCGCGGCCCATTGAAAACCATGACATCCAACCTGTAGAACGGGGTAACGGTAGCGCTCCAAACCCCGATATTATACAGGGCCTGATGAGACTTGGAAAGGTAAGTGGTTAAGTACACGAAGCTAAGATCTACTGGGTGAACGACGCTCACAAAGTACGCGACACCAAGAAGCACTTAAATTTGCGGCCATCGCATCTCCAGCAAACCATGCCACTACACCGCGTAGCGGCAGCGGCCGGCTAGTCCTAAACTATCAATGCTAGCACGGTGTCCGTCCGTCCGTCACACGAAACACTCAGATTTTTGAGCCTTCTCACTGTCTGCGGAGCGGAGCGAAGGCGGCTTCGATTGGTTAAAACTGAATTATGTAGCTTACATCGGTAAATTCATGTGGTTCATATGGAGATTTGCACAAGACTATAAATCGTTTTAGTATGATGAGGTATTATATTTACTATTTAATATTGCATCCTGCTTTTAATATTTGAGTGCTACCTTTTCTCAAATGAAATAGTCCCCAAAGACGCTTCCTATGCTGCAAGGTGCTTATAGTACACGTAGGAATGCGTGTTTTTCAGCCATACTATTAATATACGTAACATTCTGTACATAATAGTTTCTGCAAGTTGCAATGACTTTAGTAACAACAACTGTTTTGTTGAAGACATATTAATAAATTATCTGAGAGTGAGGTAACTGACTGAGCTGCCAAATCGTAGTACATGTACAACAGCTGGCCGTAAGAACCGGCCGTAAGAACAACGCATCTAATAAGCGTTGTCACTTGATCCATAACTTCGATTGAGCAAAATGAGCTCAAATGTGTTACTGCTGCAAGCCATTGTTTTCTAAGAGTTGCTTAGTGAGCAAAGTCCATACTACTTAGCTGGCGGACGTGTCGCCGACAGGGGCGTATGATACGATTTTTAATGGAGCGGCAAGACAGCAACAAAACACAAGAGGTGTTAATTATAGTTGGCTAAGTAGATTTCATAAAGAAACGAATAAACTTGGAGCCTAAATGACATTTAACCGTCCTGATATCATCGTTAAACCATCACCGCCGTCGACAATAACAACAGCAAGACGTCTTGCGACGCATTATCCAAATGCTTTATTCATGACTGGCACAGATTAGAGTGTCTAATGACTCCTTCTGAAACAGCATAAATTGAGCGCTAAATGCATTAAAATGTACAATTTGTTTTTAGCTTTGGTATGAGAGGTGAGCAATCTATATGCAGTATAACATACCGGTACTGTCAATATCGATCATTTCAAAATATACGCTCGACGCTATTTGGCAGACCTGTGGTAACCCATACACGTGTTGACATTTTCCCTGGAATCTGCAAAAGTAAGTTCTATTCTTTCGTCCACGACCACCATTGCAGAAAAATTCACGTGGACTCACTTCCACTGGAGCTATACAGACTATAGCTCATTCTTTGTTCTACCTTCGGTCAGGCGGCAAAGAAGACGGTAAGTCGGGGATTAATCTGTGAAATGAGAAGCCATAGGATTGATACTGCTCGTTCTTCACTGAGCCATCAAGTCCATCAATATATCTCACTGGTACTCCGTTTTTGGTGCACACAAGCGCGCTTCCAGATAGACCAGGAGCTGACAAAGATGAGAGAATAATTTGGTTTCCGCGCCAACCGGTGATTTTAGCTGGAATGATGGCGTAAGCGTGACCAAAAGGTTGGTCTTGAAGAGCGCCAGGGAATCCGAACACGTCAACACTCATCGTGTCATTCACTTTGAGGGACATTTTACATCGGACGAGCTTGTTATCTCGTGGCACAGCAACTTTGAAGATTGCGAAGTCGAACGCAGCCGAACTACGCCAGCAAGTGTCCTTGTCAAGGCTGAATCGAGTGACCTCTTCCGGCTTCGTCGTATCGGGAAGGAGCTGCTCCACCACCTCTCCTTGTTAAATAGGGCTTAGAAAAAAAAACTGCCGGTGTGATGTGGCGGCTCTCACTACAGTACTACATGTATGACAAAAGATGACACGATATATACGCATGGAAGAGGTAATAGACGCGAGAAGGAATGGTGGGCCACATTACTGAAATATCACCGAAAATCGAAGGCCAAACACGACAACTACGTCCGACCTCTGTACTGGACAATCCCTTTCACGATCTGGATTGTGAATAGGCGAACAACAGCGATGATGTACAACAAGCTCAACGTTATCTCGTCAACAGGCATTTACGATAGGAACTATCGCATCTACATCAACTACTTGCGGTTCTATGAGTACCTTAAGGGCCCGACGTAGTGCTATGGGCAAGTTTTGAGTTTACTCATTAAACTTCGAACAGCAGGACGCTGCACCGTTGTGGAAACCACATGTATTAGAAAAGCTAACTTTGGTGCTTGTTTTCAGATGAATGGAAATTGGTTGGCGCTTTTGCTTCGGGTTTCTCCTTTTCCGCTCCAAGATTCTCAATCTTTAGTAGATTTGGCTCAGATGAGCTAATTCTGACTGGAATCGAGCCAGGTTCGTCTGCGAGTCTTCAAACCACGTTTTCGTCTTCGTGAACGTCACAAAAATGCCCTCGTCTTCTCCAATTTCGGTCGTAAACGAGCACAGTTGCTCCTCATCTTCGAGGATCATAGCAGCGTACTCCTTCGCATCACTAAGATTGGCAAATTCTTGAATTGCGTCACCAAAAGTCAAAATTCCTTTAACCGTTAAGGATTGCTCCGGACTTTGAAAAAAATCCACAAGGTCGCTCTCAGCGAAAGGCATTCTCCATGAAAACGTCTTGTCAAGCTTATCCAGTCTCTCAATCTCTTCTTTCAACCATTCAACTCGCTTCGCAGCAATCACCTTGAGCACTGCGTACTCCTGACTCGCTTCATCATAGTCCGTGATATAGCGAGTAAACACCTCAACATAGTGGCCAAGGTCTTGTGGCTTCACCTTTTGTGTTTCACTCGTGACCAGGTCAAAGATTTGCTTATCACCAGATCGGACAGCATTACACATAACTTCAACTGCTTCTCGTGATCTCAAGATGTAGTTCCTTTCCGCTATAGCTGCATCGATCAAAGCTTGCGCGGCGATCCCATCGTCCAACCCGCTAGCCACAAGAAGCAGCACCTCAGCCGTCGAAACGCCACACGTTCGATAACTGTAGCTTTCGGTCCGGTTACCAGTTACAGTCAGCAATTCATCACTGATGTCATCCCATGAGAATAAACGCGCGATCTTGGTCATGACCGGGATTAGTGTTGTGTTATCAGCCAGATAGCCGAGTCGTGGACAGCAATTGGTAAGAAACAACTTGGTCAGCTCGAGGTCGTTAGCCTCCACTAACAGCTCACAAAAAGAACGGCAAAACCGGACAGAAGCGTAAGAAGGGTATCCACAAGTGGGCTCTACTCCCCAACTATACGCGGTAGAAGCTGCATCGAGAAGACCCCGAAGCTGTGCCACACCAACTGATCTATGAGACATCAACTGCTCGACTGCGAACTCCGCAGAAACGAGAGCTGCCGCAATTTCCACGTGTCGATTGGCAGGCCATGCAATAACCGCGAATCTTGCGTACTTGGTGCGTTTGATCGTTCCCTCGTTTCCCGTATAGACGTCTTCCGAATTTCCGTAAGACTGCCAAAGCTGGAAAAACGTTTCTAGCCCAGGATTGAGAAAATTCAGCTTCTTTGACTTCAGTGTATCTCCCCAGTGTTCTAAATCTTCCCCAGACGACGAGTACCAGTGAAGACCTTGCTCCCCATTATACAACCACCATCCATCCTCACTCAGTTTAGTCTCAACTTTGACATCTAGTTTCGCAATGAAGAACCGAAGTTGTTTATCATACGGAACGAGGGTGCTCGCCTCTTTCAGAACGCGAACTCGCGCACCATCCACACCTTTCAATGCATCAGTTCCCAGCTCTCCAATGCTCTTTTTAGTGTACTCATGTGATAGCAACAACGCGAACGAGTCGTCTTCCGGACCCATTCCATTGATCACATTGGCGAGCTCATCACTCATGGTCATGTTTTGGTCCCGTTTGAGGTGGTACTTCGATTCCGGTAGACAAATTGAGTATACCAAAGCAAGGCGATACCCCTTCGTCACTTGCTCCAGAGCGTGTTCAGCATCCGAATAGTGCACGGCGTAATGTGGAAAATAGGCCGCAGTAGCGTCAGCTTTACCGAAATCGTGACGGTGCTCTACTTGTCCGTTTCGATAAACTATCAAATCGCCGCCTTCGTGAGTACTTGGTGGCTGGACTACCAATGTCGCAATCATTCCGTCCTCCTTCTCAGTATCCTGGTGTTTCAGGAAGTGGCCTCCTTCTCCATACACCAGCAGCTTGTAGAGGACGCAGTGCAATGAAACACCCTTGTAACCCATACGAGTAGCGATCGTCTCTGTCAGCTTCTCCATTCCAATTTGCCACAACGGATTTGTGAGCTCCACTTGATCAGGTTCTAGTTGCCAACTCTTGCGGACACTTTCGTCCATCTTCGTGTCCATGTTGTGTCCGAAAGGAGATTTAGCACATTTCGCGATCAGCTTCTCCGCATGCTCGGGGGCAAGAGGCAAAGGAATGCTTCCGACGTTGTTGACGAATAATCCAGGAACGACTGGGAGAGTCTGGGCTAGTCCACCGAACGAATATTCACCTGCATGTTCATCAGCCGAAGCCAGAATTTCACTTATCTTCAAGCACGCAGCCCCTGTCGGAGAAGGGACATCATTCGGCCCTCCTTGTCCGCCAAAAGGCCACTTGCCATCTTTAAAATCCCGTCGGAAAGCCATAGCGCTCATAACGACAATAAAGCAGCTCCGCGTCAAAGAAAAAAAATGCGACTGAGAGAACACTGGGAAGTTTTGATGGATGGAAAGTGACTGCCGGAATTTTATTATGACAGCGCTCATATTTTTCATATCTAGAAAATACTTCGACGAATAAGCAAAAGAAATGGCAATTATTTTTCTTAAAGTACGCCTGACTAAAAAAGAGATGCAACGCTGACAGCATTCGTGGTTGTCAGTCAACGTAGGCATTGTAAACCTTCTCCACAGCTTTAGTCGTAGTTATCTCCCGAAGCGTAGCTCCCGTAGCTTTGGTTACCACTGGACATGCCCCTGCCGGTTGAGTGTCCAGCGTGACTCGCACTTCCATGCATTCCACGAAATCCGTGAGCACCTCCACCCATGTCTCCCGTCTCGTCATCGCCGATGCTGGTCCCAGTAGCCTCGCGTGAGTAGTTTCCACCTCGGTGCGAGTGCTTCTTGGGACTGTGATGACGATCATTGTCATCGTCATCGTCATCCCCGCCCATACCCGAGTAGCTTGACTTGTCACGGCCCGTTGTCGTTCTCTCGCTTGGGGGTGAATCGTCACTCGATCCCTTCGAATAGTGGGTGGGTCCTCCGTGACGAGAAGCATAGGACGTCGACGTGTTAGGGTCATTTTGTTGACGATCATCCCATTCATCTCCGCCACGCGAATAGCTCTTGGTCCCGACGTCAGGCTCACCACTAGCATCCGACGAACGGTACGCCGAGCTCGTGTCTGGTCCAGTGCCGGAGCGGTCGTCATTGTCCTTGGACTTGCTCCCTTTGTCCTTGTTCTTGCCGATCATCTCGCGAATAGCTTCCATCCTTGCCAAGTTGGAGTCAATTGCAGTTGTGAAGTGCCACCTTGAGGCCTCGTCTAGATCTATTCGTACGTCTCAGTATCTCTGCTTCAAGTTGCCATCTTCCAGTTAGAATGACAAGGTACGTCATGTGCAATGTCCCAATACAGTTGAACAACAACTGTAAAATACGCGGAATTATACAAAAAGCGTTAAATTCAAAGCTTTAACTGTCGAATTAAAAACGTTAAATTCAAAGCTTTAACTGTCGAATTCTAAAAGGAAGCCCTTGGCCTTGCCAAAGAGATCGTCCATCTGGTTGTCTTTCTTTTGCTCCGTGTGCTGTGGCTTGGGCTGTCCCTGCTTGGCGAGGAAGTCTTCAGCGGCTTCCACGGCCTTGTCGACTGTCGACTTGTCCTTGGCGACGTAACCGGGCTGGTGTTTCTCTGTCTCTCGCTTGGTCACACGCTTCTGCGCAAACTCGGAGGCCTTCTCCTTGGCGTGGTACTTCTCGGCGGCGTCCATGGCTTTGCTAAAGATCGAGTCGCTCTTCTTGCTCTTGTCCTTGTGACTCGAGTCACTGCCCGCGAATTTGTTGAGGAAGTCCATACTTGTCAATCGATTAAGCGTTGGAGAGGCGAAAGGAGAAATGAACGGCGTAATATTTAGCGCGTGAAAAGGACTCCGAGTGGATACTTTGACCGACTACATAGAATGGCTACATGCATCCTATGCTGGACATGATGTCCGACATCTTCAAGAAAAGCAACCAGTAATGGAACGACTACGACTTCATTCAAAGTTTGTTACGTGGACAATATTACCGTAGGACTCTTACTGCGTCGGCTCGCCTCGGTAGCGGAAGTTGTTGGGGTTGAGCTGCTTCGCACAGCCCACTTGGGCATGGCGCTAGTCGTGTCCTGTTTGCTCGAGTTGTGGCTTGCAGACTTACCGGGGTGATGACCTCCACCTTTGGAGCTTGAATGTTGTCGCCCACCACTTGCGGTCATCGTTTGCGAATGAGAGCTTCCACCTCCCTTCGCTGACCCACTTGGCCCTCCTTTCGATCCCGAACCTGCGCCTGGGCCTCCGCCCTTGGACCCAGCGCCACCGCCGCCTTTGCCCATAATTCGGTTCTTGTTTTTGGCTCTCACTTCAACTGGCAGATTAAGCTGTGAGCTGCCACAACATGTAAGGTGAAGTGTCGATTTCGTATAATACTCGCGTGTTCCCAGATTGAATTTCTAAATGCAAGTTTCTACTCTCCTCGTGAGAACGGGATTTCTACCGTACACGAGGATCAAGGTCTACGCTTCAAATGGTCAAAGAAAATTGGATTAGAAAGTTTTACAGCCACATTGGCTTGCCTCTGCTTACTTGACAACGATGCTCCTTTGCTTCACTGCTCTTCTTGCAACCCCTTGTATCTTGATCAGTAGCAGCAAAGTTGTAGCATCACAAACCCGTACTATCTGGTTCTTGCTCAACCCGTGGTTTACCCGTGCGCGCGTGACGAGTAGTTGTTCGGGTTCATCTGGTTCGAGCGGTTGTCCGCAGCCGCTTGTGTGTTTCCCGAGCCCCCACCCTTCGATCCCGATCCTCCACTTGAGCTGGAGCCTCCGCCCTTGGATCCACTGCCGCTGCCGGTTCCTTTGCCCATTTGTCTTGTTTCGCTTTGGTTCTCGGTGGCAAATTCTCGTGTGAGCTGCCACAGTAAGTTCATGCACGCATGCTCCCAGGTTGCACGGCGAAATGCAAGCTTCTATTTGCTTCGGGTTATCGGTAGTCAAGCACGTCGTTTGTGACAAGAGGTTCTGTTCTAATGAGAGAGGGTTTGCCGTTTTTTTCATTAAGTAAAAATACTTTAAAAGATAAAACTTGAGTTGCAATTAGAAACTTTAGCCGCTCTTACAAAACTCGACATCATCCAACTGGACGATGTTATCCGTGTGCACGTGACTTGTGGTACGCCGGGTTGTTGGGGTTAAGTTGATTAGCGCGATTATCGATCGCCGCCTTCGAGCTTCTCGAGTTTATTCCACTTTGACCGCGTGACGAATAGTACGCGGAGTTGTTTGGGTTTAGCTGATTAGCGCGATTGTTCGTTGCCGCCTGAGAGAACCCGGTCTCGCTAGATCTACATTCCTTTGAATCGCCGTTCCCCATTGTAGCGCTCTTGATCTTGACACTGCGCCGGCAAATATGGATATGCACCAAGTCTAGAAAAGGGTGTTGCCTTGTGCCATCAATCGGAAGAGAAAGATGGATTATAGAAACGTCTTGTGGGGAAAATGGATAGATTTTCAGTAGTTCAAGATGGAGATTTCTCGAGTCACACGCCGTGCTGCGTACTTAAAGATCAAACGCACCGCCTTTCCCTCTAACCGTGTCTTCTTGGCAGTGTCAAGAGCACTAATAAACGCAAGTTTGCGTGTCTTTGACAACTCCTCAGCTGGTAATTGCTCTCCGTTATGCGCCGTAAAGCTCTTGACAAAGCGCGTGTAGAAGTCTCCTTGGACATAAAACCTCAAAACTTCCAGCGTTCGGTTCGTATCCAGCATCCTCGCGAACGCCTCAATCATCGTTTCGTACTCTGCGATAGCGACGTCAATGTCTTGAAGACGTACTTTCCCGATACACAGCTCCCGTATGTGTCGTGCAGCTTCTCGGTCAGCGTCACTAAGCACTTTTGCGAACTCTTTTAAGCTCCTTGGTCTCACTCGATAGCGCTCAATAGCAAGAGCCTCGAGCTGACAATACCCCACGTCGTATCCATGGGTGAAGACGAACATATCTTCCACTTGGGCACCGTTAAGTTCCAGTCTCTTAAGATTGGGACACGACCGGAGGATCGAACCGAGGCCTTGTTCACGTAATAAATTGGTATGCAGCACGAGGTTAACTAGATCGTGACCAATTAACTGGAAGAACTGGATCAGTACTTTATCCGTCGAGCTCTTCGCTACCTGCGTGACCAGACTCAGATCCGTAATGCCTCTCCAATTGTACGACTCTGAGTTGGATACGTACCGATCGTGTGCGACGCGTGGGTCTACCCAGCATTTGCCGTACCCTGGCACGAGAACTTCCAGCCACTCGTCATTGGCGCTCATTAATGCGAACTCTGCGTCCTGTTCTAGCACCACTGAGGACTGCAGCCACTCTTCCTGAGTGCACAGAGGCTCGAGATACACCACCGTGTCTTTCTTTAATTGCACCATTTCTTCCAACTTGCTGGTTTCCCACTTGGGTTGGTCGTTGTCTTGGCTCTTGTTGGACTGTTTGACACGTTGACTGGCCTCGTGTTCAGCCCACAAAGGATCAAATAGTTCTTGTGCTGGGTTACATGTGCTCACGAGGGACGAGATGGCTACAACGTCATCAACTAGAAGTTGTGACTCCGTGATAGCGAGCTTTTTCACTGATGTTTTATAGCGGGTTGGAGTGAATAGAGCATATGCTAACCACTTCCACTTGAGAGCACGCCGCTCTCGAGCGTCTTGGGTAAATACAGACTCCAGAACAAGTTCTCTCACATTTGATGCTCCACGTAACGTCGAACACAGTGCTGCGAACCGCCGATCGTCAATATCCACGTCATTCACCACGATCGTCTCCACTTTGCTTCTATGGCTCCCAGCTTTGTAGTATGGTTGCTCTGCTACAGTCGAGAACAATCGAGTGCGTGGTCCTCCTCCCGTAACAGCCAGTAGACAATCTGCAAGAGGCTGGCGAGGACACTCGTCTTCGGACAAGAAGTCTGTCGACTTTAACGGCAGCTGTAGACACGATATCTTGGCTCCAAACATCACCAGCTCCGTTAACGCTCGTGCTACCGACTCGTTCAATTCAAAGTCTCTCAAATTTAATTGCATGGCCTCAAAGACGAAAGACTGTAGCGTCCCACCGTCTTCATTGTCTTGATTGTCAGCATCTGGTGCACTTTGTTTCTTTGCTTTATCGAGTACTCGTTGCACGCTCTGGAGATATTGTTGCAGACCCACCAAATTAATATTTCGAGGTGCGAAATGGAGACAGAACGGGATGGCTGTGTCCGGAACAATTATCCCCAATTTCTTCTCGGCGATCCTCTTGAGTTCCTCCTTCACCAAGAGGAACTCTTCACTCATAATTGTATCTCCGTCCCAAGCCAACAGTGCTTTGTACACTGTCTCGGGCCACAGAAGCGAGCGGCTGGTGTGGTCGTCCAATACGAAGATGACGCGGAGACTGTCAAACTTGTTGAGGTCGCCATCTACACCACATGTTTCACGCAAGATGTCACAGAATACCAGATGGTCCGCTGCTGCCACAATTGACAATAGAATTAGAGATTCCCGGATCTTTGGTAGCAAGTCGGAACTGGCGTTGCGCTGGTGCTTAGGCAATGTCACCAGCAGCCAACAGCTGTCTTTACAGTCTGTAGGAGCGCCATTTCGTGGCAAATTGCCTAGCATCACACGCCCGCGCAGCCACTTGCACCACGGGAAGAGCACCCGCCACGAATCCATTGAGGAGATCAAGGAATAGAGAAGATACTGACAAAAATCAGGATTATGGCGCCAAGAGATGTGATTAGCTAGCAGAAAAGTAAAGATTAAATATGAGAGACCAAATACACGTACTACCGATCACATAGACAGTGTTGCGTTTCATTTACGGAGCTTCTTACCTAGCTGTCTCCCTTGCTAACTCCTTGTGTGGTAGTGCTCCGATTTATGAATTTCGGCAGCCTTGATATTCGCTGCAAGGCTTCAAAATTAATTTTTTTCTTCTTTGACCCGCTCTCCTTTCCATGATCAAATCCTCAGAGTTCGTATGTATCCAAGCGGACACGCCGTTTCTTGGACGAAGATACCGGTATAGGAGGATCAGCCGTTCGCTTCGCAGCAATCGCTTTAAGCACTTGTACCCGCTCACTCATCACTTCATACTTTTGGATATATGGGGTAAACATCTCGACAAACTGCCGAAGTGGCCCCCTCTTCTGCATTTTCGTCATAGCCATATCGAATGGCGACTTATCACGCAGCCAGACAGCATTCCACAACACTCGAAGCGCTTCTGGAGACCGCAGTTTGTACTCCTCTTTTTCCAATGCTGCACTAATCAAAGCATGCTTGGCTACTCCATTATCCATGCAACCAGCCACAAGCAACAGCATTTCCACGCCACGCCTGTCATAAAATGTGTTTTGACCGGTTAAATTGCCCAACACGTCCAGCAATGCTTCGCCTATATCTCTCTCCACGCATACGCACGCACAATCTGGGTAATCACTCGAATTAGCGTCGTGTTATTAGCCCTTGATCGTTCGAATCAAGCAGCAGCTCGCAAAAAGTACGACAAGATCTGACTGAAGGCTTGGCGTCTCCACAGCCATGCTTGGCATAAGTCGTGAAGAGACATTTGTAAAGCACGGTAGCATTTACAGGTATTTGAGAGACCAGGCAATTTCCGCAGACATTAACTTTGCCATATTTACTAAATGTTGACCAATAGGCCACCCAACCAACGCAAATCGTGTGTGTTTTACAGTTTTGAGCGGCCAAGAGTCACTCAATTTGAGCTCCGAATCTTCACAAGTCTTCCAGTCCTGGGTAAATGCGCCGTTTGTAGAATTGATGAAGTTAAGCTTTTTGAAGAACTCGTCAAATCGCAGGTGTCCTGTTTTTTTACCGGTCATTGAGTACCAGTGGAGGCAACGTTGGCGATGACATACGCTCCAGCCGCTACCACTACTATATCTTTTGTAACACTTACAGGAAAGTCTTGCAATGAAAACTGAAGTTTCTTGTCAGCGGGTACGACGGTATTCGCTTCTTCAAGAATACCAAGGCGATTTTTATCAATGTCTCGAAGAATTTGCACTCCATACTCTTCAACACCCCTCTTGTTGTAATCAAAACGCAATAGCAACGCAAACGAGTCATCTTTCGGTTCCAAATCTTTGATCACGCTGGCGAGATTATAAGCCATGCTCTTGGTGGGGTCTCGTTTAAGGTAGCTTTGCAGCATTGGCAGACAAATGGAGTATATCAATGCAAGGCGATATCCCTTCGTTACTTTCTCCATAGAATACTCAGCATCCGGGTAGTGCACGACGTAGTGTGGGGAGTAGGCCGCAGTACCGTCGGTCTTTCCAAAACCATGACGGTGTTCTCCACGACCATGCTGATACACTATAAGGTCACCACCTTCGTGTGTACTCAGTGGTTGAAGTACCAAGGTGGCTACCGTTCCATCGTCTCATTTCGTATCTCTGTGCTTGGGTAGATAACTTCCTTCTCCGCACGCGAGCAGCTTGGATAGCACACAGCGCAGTGCAGTTCGTCAACTTCTCCATTCCAGCTTGCCACGACGGGTGCCGGATCTCCGTTTGATCCGCCTGGAACTGCCAACTCCTCTGCGCTTTTTCGCTCATTTTCGAGCGAGATTTCTTACATTTCGCGATCAACTTTGTCGCGTGCTCAGTGCTAGTGGCACCGGAATTAAGCCGACATCTTTAGCAAAGAGCCCAGGAGTAGCTGGTAGATTAGACCACCGAAGGAATATTCTTCAGAACGGTAATCACCCAGGTCTAGAATCTCTCCAATCTTGACGCACGCCGGAGTATCGTTTCGAGCAGTTTCAGACCCGTCAGGCTCATTGAATTCTCGTCTGAGTGCCATCGCTGAAGTTCGAAGCAAGCTTACGCTTGCCGAGAAGAAAGAAGAATGAAGGTTATTTTGTGCTCGCCCACGTGCTTCTGGGAAATGAAAAAAGGCGCATACAGAAGCTTAACCAATTACATGATTCTGAATCCCTAAAAGCAGGAAATTGTGTTCCTTTATTCTTTTTTAAAATTTACTAAAAGTGAGTCTGAAGTTCCGCGAGTACGTAGTACAGAGGATGTTCGGGATGCATTCATCGTGTCGGCTATCTGTACACAACTGGCGGATTAAAAGCGGGTCCCGTTGGTGGACAAGAAGTCAGCTTAGACTCTGAAACAAATTTCAGTCGCAATTGCAACAGCAAAACTGATCGTCTCCTGTCATGATTTAGGAGCTTAGTCGTAATTGCTGTCGCCCGACGCGTAACTCCCGTAGCTCTGGCTGTCATCGGACATGTCCATGCCGCTGAATCGGCCAGCATGACTTGTGCTTCCATGTGTTCCATGAGATTCGTGCTTCGTGTCTTCCGAATAGCTGGAATAGTATCCATCTTCATCGCCATCACGGCGCAAGTGCTCCTTGGAAACGTGGCGGTGATAACTGTCGTCACTATCTCCGCCGAATCTCGAGTAGCTCGACTTGTCACGACCCGAGTCGCCAGAATACCCCGTCACGCTCGTCTCGCTGCCAATCCCAGTCGAACTGCTCCTCGATCCGAACGAGTGGCCGCTAGCTCCTCCACTGGAGCCTCCAGTCTGGAGGTACTCTGGAGGCTCCAGAGTGCGACGAATAGGATGTCGATTTATCAGGATCAGCTTGCTGACGGTCATCCTAGTCATTCCGCGAGTTGCTCTAGGTTCCGACGTCAGGTTCACCGCTAGCATCCGAGAAACGGTACGCCGAGCTCGGACCAGCGTTTGAACGGTCGTCGTTGTCCTTGCCCTTATTCTTGCCGCGCAGCTCGCGAACTGGTTCCATCTCTGCGACTGAATTCGGGCCCCGAAGTCAGCGCGAAAATCTACGTTGTGTCTCCCGAGACAAGAGCCGTTCGCATCGTCGCAGCAGTTCCACTTCAACTTGGTAGTACAAGTCCTCTATCAGACCACAACAACAACGGTGCTTGCTTTAAGAAATGAATACAATTTCCGTTTAGCTTCATTATTGATGTTATAATACTGAAGCTGTTTATTCTCTGTCTAATCAAAACACGAGCTGCCGATGATAGGATCAATCCAGCTTCGAGCGCGTGACACACGCGAGTACATACCAGGGTAAAAGGGTCCTTGTCCGCAGCCCTTGTCTTTGTTCCAGCTGACCACACCTACGAGTATGTCTCGGCCATTGCTAGTAGACTCAACAACAAGCGGTCCTCCAGTGTCTCCGGCGCAGGCTCCCTTGCTGATTACGCCTTTGACACACAGCATCGAGCTGTCAATAGTGACCAATTGTTCGCATTCCTTGTCACTAAGGACAGTCAGGTCGACGCTGAGGAGCTCGTTGGACATTGCGCCATTCTCGCCAGTTAATCCCCATCCGATCGCCGTTGCTGCAGCTCCAGCCTTGAAGTCCGAATCGTCTGCTCCAGCGAGTTTCACGGGTTTATAAGAGCTCGGAGTGTCCAACTCTAACAGCGTGAAATCACTGCTAAAGTCGATATTCGATGAGAAATTTGGGTGGTTCATGACCGCCGCCACTTTGATCTGTTCTCCGTCTTTGCTCCCACTGACGTGGAGAGATCCAATTGACGCCCAGCGGATGTTTTTAGCGGCGCATTGTGAGGACGTGAGGACATGTATGGGGCTGACAAGCGATCCGCCACAGAAAGTTTCGCCGTCTGCGGAGCTCCGGAGACCAACCGTGTACGTCTTCGCTTTGGCTGAGACGACTGAGCCACCGAGAATGAGCTTGCGCTGGATGTCGTTGACTGAAGCGTCAGTGGGAGTGGATGCCAAAGCTAAAGCTGCCAATGCGGCGGCGACGATAGCGCTCTTTAATGAAGACTTCATGGCTTGTCAAGTCCGGAAATGAACAGCAGACAAGCGAGATTCGGAGTGATGTGCTAAAGCCATCATCTCTGATTCCGGTCTGGGATCAGAAAAAAGGTTGAAGAGTTTTTTTGAGATCTGCTTACCGGTATTAATACGATAAGCCTTATTAATACTAATACATGTACAGCATGTAATCAATAGTAGTAGAGTACTACTAATACGTATTTCTTGTAGAATAACTACACCATTTCAGGTCCGTTCTCCCCAGAGGTACAACCACCTCCCGGCCGACCTGTGCATAGGGATGGACAGGCCTTAGATCAAATTAACCACCAGCCGTATTGAAAAAAAGAGTATGCCTTTTTTCTGATACCGCTTAGGTACGTGTGACGGGGTTACAAAGCACCTTGCGCAAGAGGAAGTTATCTTCCGAGAGTATACAAACTCTCAGTGAACGGCAGTTCACAGGTCCCCTCTTTTATTTAAGAGAGCGAAGTGACCCAAATAAGGTAGATTGTAAACTGAGTATATTTATAGGTAGATTAAGTTTGGGTTTAATACAAACTGTTAGTTACCTATAGAAATGCAATGTCATTTAACCATTGGTACCTTGTACCAAATATCTCGGAGTATGACGTGTCATACTCCTGAAGTGTGAAGTGTCACACTTCATGTAGCCAGGGTACACTTAGGGCTACGTACCCCGTTACATCCTCCCCCACTTAGGTTCGGTTTACCGACCAATCTGAATGAAGAGGTGTTCATCACAAACTCTCATTCTCAAATTCGAAAACCATCGACTTGGCCGCGCGAGCGCGGCGAAGGCTCACTTCACAGTTAGAGCCTCGAGCAGCAACCTGTGCGCTCTTCGTCTAGGTCTCCACTTCGACCGTTAACATGCCTCGTGGCACTACTAAGAGCGGTGCTAAGACACGCTCCAAGGCTGCAACCGGTAAGGCGCAGGCCAAGAGCACTAAGCCTCACGGCAAAGGCTCTGCACTCAAGGAGGCTACTCAGGTGGCCTCCGAGGCGATCGGTTCCTCGGGTGACGCGGCTGCGGACAAGCGCGCAAGCAGGCGCCGCAGTCCGTCGCCCTCGTCTTCAGACAGCCGTCCGAACCCTCGGTTCGTAGAACGCGAGTTCAACTCGGGCAGTGAAGACGATGCCGAGTCCGAGAGCACTCAGGATGCTCCTGCGGGCTCTGTGGGAGGGCACAGCCCAGTGCCCAGTGAGCACAAAGAAGGCAGCGTGCAGTCGCCCGCTAGTGATCACGGTGATCACAGTCCCAGGACCTCTGTGCGCTCTGAGAGTCCGGCCGTTAAGGCTAAGGGCGCTCCCAAAGCCGGTGGCGATGAGGAAGAGAATCCTCGCAAACGTCTCTCGCTTGCCGAGGGTCTTGCGCGCGCTAAGGCCTCTAAAGCCGAAGGCGCCAAGCCCTCAAAGAAGCGTACCGCCTCTAAGTCTCCACTCCGCGAGGAGAAGGAGACTCGACGCTCCTATCAGAGTCTCTTCGGCTCCTCGGATGAAGAGGAGGAGAAGGAGGAAGAAGAGGAGGAGGAGGGTGCTATCGTTGAGCCCCGGGAGGTCTCGAATGATCTCGACCAGCAGCAGGAGGAATTCCAAGCTGCCCAGCGTGTGCGTGGGGGTTCGGTGGCGGCACCCGTCAGCCAGGGAGCTGCCATCAACTCAAGAGGGTATTGGCCTCCCGAGGAGAGCTCTGGGGCTGACCTCTTCTTAGAGCTTCTCGTCGCTCCTCGTAGCCTTGTGGGCGGCCACACTTCTAGGGGCATCTATGAACGAGCCCTTGTTCAGAAAGAACAGTTGTTCGTCGACAACTTGGAGGCTGCTCGGTGTGTGCTTCTCGCGCAACACCGCATTCCCCTTAAGGACTTCACGACTTGTCGTAAGAAGCCCGAGACCCGGGGTGGTCTCTATCCTGTTTGGGGATACCCCTGGGTTATGCCCGAGAACTGTCCCACGTGGAGTTCTTGTGAGGACATGTTCTGGGCGTGGGTGGAGACTCTCAAGTACTCGCCCACGGAGTTATGGGAACTCCATGAAGATCAGCAGCTGTCCCACATCCTGGACCAGCGTGATCTTCGTGTGAGGTTTGCCCACTTGATCAGCAAGCGTATGCTGCCAAGGGACATCCTGAAGCGCGCGGCTTCTAGCGCTCACGATGAGCGCGGGTACGGTATGTATTCATCGACCGTACCCCGTTCGGGCAAGAAGCCCCGGACTACTTATTAAGCTGCCGCCGCTTCTGTTCCCAGATTGCGACAGCCTTCGGGCAGTCAATCAGGAGCCGTTCAATCGGCTCCCACGAGTTCTCGGAGTGGGCATAACCCCTCCACTTCACGAGGAGCTGTCGCTTGCCGCGACATCGTTGCTCCTGGAGGATCCGCTCCACGTGGTAGTGGGCTTCTCCATTCCGGTCAAGCAGGGGCGGAGGTGCCCTCGTACGAGTACGAGTACTCGGCGCCTCCCGAGAGCCACTCTCGTCCGAGTGCTCCGACTGCGGGTCCGACACAGGACCCTGAGGTTGACCGCCTCCGTCAACGTGTCCTCGTGCTCGAGATTGCACTTGGCCTTGGGACTGGCGGTAATGCTGCCGCCCAGGCCGGGAATCAGGGCGAGCTCGCTCGTCTTGCGGGCCGCCTGGACCTGGTGGAGCGAGAGGTCGCGAGCCTGCACCTGCAAGTGGATCGCCGGGCCTCTTCGTCCGATCTGGACGAGGCCTTTCGCATGATCCGACGGATCGAGGCTTTGTTGTCACGTCCGGAGCCGCCTGCGGCACACTCCCAGACGTACGCGTATGGTGCGTGTCCGGCGTACTCAGCGTACTCGGCGTATGGCGCCGGGGTCCGTTCGTATGGAGCACCTCCGGCGTACGGTCTTGACCGCAGCCTTGCCGTCCCGACCGAGACTTGGGTGCCTGCTCCGACGCCCTCGTCGACGACTGTGACCGGCCCTCGCTTCGAGGAGCTGGGTCAAGGGGGATCTGCGAGTCAGCAACCCCCTGCGGGTCAGAGTACCGCTTAAGACGTCCGACATAGAACGTCGGGTGCGTCGTCATTGACTTTGGAAGGTCGATGATGTACGACGCACCATGTCTGGCCAGGACTGCAAAAGGTCCGATGAAGCGGTGCTTCAGTTTGTTGCTGCCGACAGAGCTAACAGTGTCTAGAGGTAGGTTCCTCGTGTCTAGCAACACTAAGTCACCAACCTCAAATATACTTAAGTTTCATCTTCCTTGTTTGTCTGAGTACTCCTTTTGTTTATCTTGGGCCGCTGCCATGGCATCGCGGACCCTGCTGACAATGTTCAGCTTGGTATCCATAAAGGATTCCACCTGTTTCCGCAGCAAAACTGGCCTCACATCCGAGACCTGGGAGGAAAGGGCTTTCCGAGCCTCTCCCCCACTTAGAATAGAGGAGTCAGTGTCTCCTCGAAGAGTGAGGGGCACTCTGGGGTGGCGGAAGCCGTTCAAGTAGAGCGGCGTGAGCCCCGTAGACGCGTGCACCGCGTTGTTGAGCGCAAACTCAACAACTGGAAGCTGCGACGACCACGTACGTGGCGCTGCCGCGCACACACTGCGCAGAGTGTCCTCGAACACTCGATTGACGCGCTCTGTTTGGCCGTCTTTCTGCGGATGATACGCAGTGGACATCTGCAGACGAGTTCCCAGTAAAGGGAACAGCGTTTTCCAAAACGCAGCAGTGAACCGCGGGTCTCGGTCCGAGACAATCGTCTCCGGGAGACCGTGATAGCGGAACACGCCATCGACGAACAACCTTGCGGTTTGTTCGCCCGTTACAGTGACGGGAACTGGAGCAAGATGTACCATCTTGCTCAGCCGACACACGAACACCAAAATTCCGGTGTTGCCGTGTCCGTCGGCGGGAAGCCCAAAAATGAAGTCCAGACTCATCGACTTCCAGCAATCAGCCGGTACGGGCAGGCTCTGTAGTGGAGCCGAAGAGTGCCCTGCGGGTTTGACCCGCTGACATGTTTCGCATGTCTTGACGTATCGGGCGACCCACTTGTACATGTGGGTCCACCAGAAGGACTGAGAGACCGACAGAAAGGTCTTCTCGCGGCCCAAGTGGCCGCTGGAGGGCGCGTCATGCGCCTCCGCGAGGATGTCGAACTTCAGATCCTCGTCGTTGGGTACGACCACCCGTGGAGGATCAGTGGGCTCCACCCGATAATAGAGGAGGCCCTCCTTCAACTCATATCGGTGGAGCCGTGAGCGCTGTCGCGACGAGAGCCAGTCGGACCTCGCGCTCGTTCCGGCCTTAAGGAGCTTGACGATAGGCGCGACAGCCTCATCGTCCCGATACGCCATGCGTATCCGATCATATAGATCCGATGTCACCCGCGTGATGTGGGCCAACTCATAGTCGGGACGCCGAGAGAGGGCGTCCGCAAGCACGTTGAGCTTGCCCGGCTTGTATTCGACGCGGAAGTTGTATTCCGCGAAAAAGGACAGCCACCTCGCCATCCTTTGGGAGAGGTGAGGCGAGTTAGTCGCCGTCCTCAAGGACGCGTGGTCTGTGTAGATCACAAAGGGCCTAGAGCCCAGAAGGTGAACACGGAACTTCACAAGGGCATATTTCATTGCCAGGAGCTCCTTGTCATGGACAGGGTAGCTCCGCTCGGCGGCTTTGAGCTGCCGGGACTGGAACGAGATG